GCATAAATGCAGAAACCATTTTTTTCTAAGCAAAGCACCTAAGTGGAAGTCCCAAATTGTTATATTTTGTATATTTACCAAAAAATAAGCTTTTCATAAATTCGAACTTACTAAAACCAAAAAACTTCACAGCTTCGCCAAGTCAACCTAATTTTTACTTGTTTCATATCTTACGTAGATACTGCGTTTTTGCTTACGAGGACAGTATAATCTTGTCTTTTGAGCCTCTTCATGGATACGTCCATGAGCCTCTTACATTTCATGTTGCCATGTTTAAAATGGCCTTCTCCTTGATTGTCATTATACTGCCCTTTAAACTTAAATGTGGTTTCTTTCTGTCTGTATTATTATCTTTATATTCACTCATGTCCTGTACTTTTTCTATTTCCCGCTCCGTCCACGTATTATCTTCCACTAGCTTGCACTGTATTGTTTGTAGCTTTTTTTATCATGTTTGTTTTTTAATTCTAATTCCATCTTGTGTCTTCTATAATCATTACAATCAATTAAGCTTATTCTCATATTTTTTTTTTATTAACACCTGCGCGGTATTTGTATACTGCTATCTGGTCACAAATGACCAATTATCAGTTATTTTCTGACCTAACATAATAACAGCAAATACTTAAATCTAAGGACTTACCCTATGGCTTACTCTTATTTTATCTATTAACTAATGCACGACAACTAGCATGCAATAACTTCACAGCACTATACTCTGCTTTTTACACTAAACTGTTACACATTTACACTAGCTCAAATGGTTTTGTCCTTATGAGTCTTCTCTTTAGTTCAGTGTTGTCAAGAAGCTGGATTGCCTCGACATTCACATGACTATGCAGCCTCTGCTCGTGACTTGCTGCTGTTCTCTTGATTATTTCGATCACAGTTTCCATACCCAGGTCCTGGTGGAGGTTGCTGTTACGGATATACCAAGGAGCATCAAGAATGTTTCTCAGTACTTTATTTTGAAATCTCTGGATAATAAGTAAATTACTAGCTTTGGTACAGCCCCAGAGTTGGCACCCATATATCCATACTGGCCTCAGTACTTGCTTGTAGATAGATAATTTATTATGAATTGACAATGTTGAGTTTTTTCCAATCAGCCAATACAATTTCTTATATCTAATATCAAGCTCCCCTCTTTTCTTTTTGACATGGACTTTCCAGCGCAGCTTCGCGTCTAGGGTGATGCCCAAGTATTTTGCTGATGTTGCATAAGGAATTCGGGTATCATTTATTCTAACTGGGAAATTTTCTATTTTTTTATTTGTAAAGTTAATGTGTGCAGATTTAGTCTCATTTAATTTTATTCGCCATTTTCTGGTCCAGTTATGTATTTTATTTACTGATAGTTGCAATTTATCAGTCGCTTCTTCACTAGTGTCTCCTATCGCTAGTATGGCTGTATCATCCGCGAAGGTGGCAATAGTATTTTCTTCTAGCTCTGGAATGTCACACGTATACAATAGGTACAGGACCGGACCTAAGACACTTCCTTGTGGCACGCCAGCTTTGATCTCCCTTAAGTCGGTGTACACTTCTTCTTGTTTTACACTGAAATATCTATTCGCAATGTATGATTTCAAGATTTCTGAATACTGTTTAGGCATGAACGTTCTTAGTTTATAGTTTAAACCGTCATGCCAGACTTTATCAAACGCCTGTGCTACATCCAAGAAGATTGTAGAGCAGACTTTATTTTCTTCTAATGTTTTTTCTATTATATTTGTTATTCTGTGAACTTGATCTATAGTGGAATGTTGATTTCTGAAACCAAATTGATGATTTGTTATAAGATTTTTTCTTTCTATTATTGGTTTTAATCTTTTTAATAGAAGTTTTTCAAATAGTTTTGACATCACCGGAAGGAGGGATATTGGTCGATAGGATGTCACTTCATTAGGAGATTTACCTGGTTTGGCGATCATAATTACTTCGGCTACTTTCCAGAGTCTGGGAACATATCTCAATCTAAAAGCAGCATTTATTAGGTGTGTCAGCTTAACTATGGCTTTTCTTGGTAGATTTTTTAATAATTCACCTGTTATGAGATCATATCCTGGAGCTTTCTTAGGATTTATATTCTCTTTTATCTCTGTTGATACTTCTCTAAGTGATGTCAATGTTATTCTTTCGTCAGTTTGGAATGGTTCTTCCCATTTCAGTTCTTCACTATCATTGTCGTTGGGTTTGAACGTGCTTTCTAAATGACAACTTGATAGGAGGGGCATGAATAATTGGTCTCTTCAATCTTTTTGTTGCCTTCCATAAAGAATAATCTGTGTTCTGGTCAGCTGTTAAATTACTTAAAAAATAATTAATTGTTGAATTTTTTATATTTTGTATCTCCCTTTTTAGTTTTTGTGTAGCATTATTTAGACTAGTTTTGTCTCGTGGAGCTCTGTATTGCTGCCATTTTTTTCTTAACTTCCTTTTTTCTACTATGAGTTCTCTGATTTCTTTTGGATAGTTGTTCCCTTTTGTTCTAGAAGTTATTGTGGGAGTATTTTCCCAAGCTGACTGTTGGATATTTTTTATAAAAACTTCTAATTCGTCATCAAGTTGCCTCGTGTTTCTTAATGGAACAGCAAGATTAATTTTGTGTTTATTTTGAAGCTCTCCCAGTCAGTTTTTTTATTAGTCAATATTGGATTGAACTCTTTTTTAACCACTGTATCACTCATAGTTAGAATTATCGGTGAGTGATCAGAGTTCATGTCCCAGCCGTCATTGATATCCAGATAGTTAGCTGAGATATTTTTGTAAATAAAGAAATCTATCAGGTCTGGAATTTTGTTCCTATCGGTAGGCCAGTATGTTGGTCTACCAGTAGAGATTACTTCACCCTTTTGTTCCTTAACAGCTGACAATAGTTCTTTTCCTTTAGTTGTAGTTAGTCTAGAGCCCCAGTGGGTATTTTTTGCATTAAAGTCGCCACCGATGATGTATCTTTTTCCTAAAGTGTTCATAAACTCTTTATATTGCTCTCTTTTAATGGAATGTCTAGGACAATATATTGAACTTATATTTAAGGTATGTGTTTTCATCTTCACACAGGCTGTTGTAGCTTGTATGTGCTCAGTTGCATATTTTAATTCCTCATGATGCAAGATGTTATCTTTAATTATAATAGCGCTTCCTCCTTTAGCTGCATTATCTGGGTGTACAGTAGAATATACTCTATACCCCCTAAATTTAATATATGACTGTTTAGTGAAGTGTGTTTCAGAAACGAGACACAGATCAATTTTCTCAATATCTAGTACTGCTTGCAACTCGATCTGATGTTGTAACAGTCCATTTGCGTTCCACGCCATTATTCGGAGGTCTTTAGTAGCATTTTTGATTTTCGGAATAGCTCCTTTAGCGCTATGCTCTAGTCGGGTAACTCTGATATCGATTTGAGTTATTTTGTCATCAATCTTGGTGAGCTTTTCCAATATCATTTTTAATGTAATATCAGTTTCTTTTTCTTGTTGCGATGATGCATGTCTCCTTGCGTTCTTTGTTACATCGCTGTAACTTCTATTTTCACTGACCTCTGCCGGTTTTAGTTTTTTGCTTTCAATAACTCTATGGAGTGCTTTTATAACATTGTTTTTGTTTGTTCTCTCGTTTCTTATTGTTTGTAATTTTTTAGCTACATAACATCCGCGGTAGTTTGCAGGATGGTTTTCTCCACAATGAACACATTTTGGTTTATCTTCTGGTGGTTTTTGGCAATCTTTAGTAAGGTGTTTACCAATACATTTTACACATCTTGGCTCCTTTTTACAGTATTTCCACGTGTGTCCGTAAGCCTGGCATCTTTTACATTGTGGGACTAATCTGGAACTCCTTAATGGCTCGATTTCAACTCTCGTATTAAGTATGTCTGTTATGCTGTAAATTCTATTTATATCTTCATCTTGTCTAAATGTTAGGATGAATATATCTAGTGGTTTTTTAGTTTTCCATTTGAATTTCTTGTCAGCTTTAATTGCTTTATATTGTCGTTTTTGTCTTTTACTATTTCCTCTGGTGGCCACGTGTGATGTAATTTCTTAACAACAACTCTAATTGGTCTCTCTTGCTTATTTTCATAAGTGTGGTAAGAAAGGTTACTCGTATTTAATGTGTCTATTAAAGCTCTGTAATGATCGCTATTGGCTGTATTAATTTTTATAACTTCACTGTTTATGATTTTCATAGTGAAGGTCTCAGTTAGAAGCTTGCTCAGGTAAACAGCACTTTGAAAACCTTCTACTACAACCGGAGGTGGTGGTTTTGGTTTTTTGAATGGTTTTTCTATTTGTGTTTCTGCACTTGATTTTTGCGGAGAGGGAGGAGATAATGAGGTATTCATTTTACGTTTTTTGTTAGTTTTCTTGTTTTCGGTTCTTATCCAGCCCGTTTCATACGCTAAATCTTCTTCATCGGTGCAGTATTCAAGTTTATCGGTTTTTAATTTATTTTGTGATTCATCAGCACTTGCGGTTAACTCTGTATGTTGTTCGGCTTTTTCCAGCGGTGCTAATCTCTTTTCCATATCGGCGATTATTTGACTCAACCGTTGATTATCCATATTAAGTCTCTTAACATTTTCTTCCGACTGACACCATGCATTATAAAGCGTCTGCTCATTTTGTGAACGTTGTGTATTTTCTGCGAACATCGCATTATTTTGTTGGACTAGTAGTGCGTCCATTTCGGTATGAATAGGAAACATTATAAATATTTAAATATTTCGCTTACCTAAGTTAACTTGAATTTATCGCGATCGCTTACAGCCATGGCCATTGATATCACTCACGACTAATGATATCTTAATTACTACTTAATTACCACTGATTAGATAGCGGAGCTCTGAATACGGACGGTCAAAGCCAGACTTAATCTCATATAAACATAATATTAAACTTAGACATGCCACAAGAAAGCAGTTTAAGTTGGGAACTTGTCATCTTGATTTACATGTACTGACCCACTAATATTTTTCAAATAAAACACGAGTTATTTCCATATAATTTTATTTCAAAATGACCTTAATAAAACAAAAGTCCATGCTATAGTAATAGTTATCCGGTTATAAATAACAAATTATCAAAATAAACATAACATTTCTAAGAAAGAGTAAAAGGCCACGCATTGAAATTACTGTCCCGATTCCCGCACAACAATTTCTTTTTAGTAATTTCATAAATACAAAGTAAAACTGTATAAACAAAAGATTTCCGTAAAAATTTTCGTTAAATCTGCCTTTATACCACTTTCACGTGTTTCCAATAAGAACTCAAGTACGTAATCCATAAACTAAATTCATATTCACACAACGTAAGCTACAGTATAAAAAGAATATTCTCACAATTTTCTAGAGCCAATAAAAATATACATAAATACTTCTATTTTTTTCTCGTATCATCCGAAATTGCTATGATGTGAATGGCTTCTGTTGAGAGATTAAATTATTTAATCCAGCACCAACTACCTTCAATACAAAAAAACGAAATTGACAGATTCAGTAATTCGATTTCATAGCGTCATCACACAAAATCTTGGTTTGCTCTCTATTTTGGTGAAAAAGTATGTCTAACATGTTTTATTTCACAAACCATTTAATATTAGTTTTAGAGTGCGTTTTCCAATTGCAAGGATAATTTATTTAGATTTATTCATTTACGACTGAATAAAAAAATGCAAAGAGCTTTTAATTTTTGTAACACTTGATTACTGTATAGGAAAGTGTTCGAGAGTTTTGATATGGGGTAAGGAAGGGTTCACCAATAGATATTTTGAAATATAATATTTCTGATAAGTATCATGACATTAAACGGCCTCGGTAATTGTGTTCGCAGGTTTTGCTAAAAATTAACATTTTTAATGTCTACCAATTGACATACCGACATGACCTGACGTACACAGGTACTTAAGATGAAGGCAAATATCTAACTTATTTAAATAGTTACCAGACAATAATAACTCGTTCCCCAAATAAATAACAAATGGATATATTTTAACTAAAAGAGGATACTTGAAACTTTAAAGTATAATACTAAAATCACTTGAAAATTACAATCCTATTTCCTTTCCCAAACTAATAGAATACTAAATACATCAACTCTTCGACGGCATTTCTGTAGATCAAATTCGGTTTTGTTACAAATTGCACAAAGGATAGAGAAGAACCAAGTTTTTAATCCGCTTTTCCTTGCAAATGGAAAAACGCTTCTGTTTTAAGTTAAGTGCTTTTTACATTTCTATCAACCCAATCATTTATTAGTCTCACAATTAAATTGTATGAATATTGGAAGCATTCTAGCTATAATTATCTCGAAGAACACCAATCACATTAAAGAAAAAAAGAAAGACACCAAAAGTCATTTTTCTATACACTTAAATTATTAAAACATAATTATTATCTATAAACAAAAAATAAATATTACGCCATCTTTTATTCATAATGTGTAAGGTGTTTTTCTTAATATATCCAATGTTTACGAAAAATCTAGTAGGCTTAAAAGATTCAAGTGACTTTTTAACTCTCTTGTATCTCTTATTACCATATTGCTGTTAAGTTGTATATTTATTATATTTTTAAACGCCACTTTTTTGCTATTCTTCGTTTGTGTATACAACTTTAAACATACAATTTTTATTTTCATAAATAGTCTACATAGATTTCCTATTATAGGACATATATCAAGTTTGGAGTTAGCTGTATACATATCAAAAAATTGAATTGTCTTTTTCCGTTTAATTTAAACTAAAGTTCCTTATGGATCACAGATGATACTGTATACGCAGATCTTACAAGTTTGCTGATGTCTAATCTTGTTGAAATAGTCACTGTGGTGACACTTTCGCTATGTGTCATTAAAATTTAATCAAAAAAGGTAAGAATACAATTCATAAATAAAGACACACCATCTTTTAAATCTTCATAATGACTCTAAACGAGTCATAATGAACTGTTCAACTATTCCTAAAACCCATAATAACTAATTTCATCTCAATATAATTTAGAATTTTTGTGAAATTATTTGCATCAAAATTGTTACGGGTTGCCAAACTTTTTGTAAACATTAGATATATATAATTTCTAAAGATTTTTTTTATAATATCCTCTCCATTTTGGCAACATATATAAAATAATCAAAACACGTCATTTACAGTCTATTATCAATCGCTAAACACACAAAAAGAGGGACCTAGTTGGTGCCATTAATATTTTGGTGTTAAAAAATCGTAGTAGCATTTTCTTTGTCCCCCACTTTAACCATTTTAAAAATACTTATTAAAAAATTACTACAAATTTGTTAACTTTATTTAGTATTTTTTCGATACCGAATTTTTGATTTGTGGTATATAAACCAACGCTTGATTGGAATTGAAAAGACGATTCGCGATATATAAAAACGATCAAAATTAGGGACATATCAAAATGCGTATCGCTATAAGTCTAAAATCTTAATACTGACACCAGGACAAATTTTTGTTTCTTTTCTCTTTTTCAATTTTCTAACGTTTTTGTTGGAAAGACAAATACCGATCAGTAAACGAGTTGAGCCGGACCCGCAGCTTTTTTCTAAACACCAATGAGATTTTGGCTCAATTAAAGTGTGAACCGATATAGTTGTGTAGAATAAATCCGCGCGATACTTGTAAATCTAACAAAAACATTTTTCTAGTAGTACAAACTCACTCCATCACAGATTGTTGTATTTTTATATAACTAAAACACTTATTGTGTATTTTTTCTCAATCTAGTGTCAGGTGTTCCTGGTCAGATCTTCTATTTCACTGAAAAAATAAACATTTGATTAATAAAAAGATTTTTTCAAGTTACAAGTTATACATAGAATAGCAAAACCACATAAGGTACCGAACACTACAATTTGTCTCTATTTTTCCTATAAAAAGTTTCTTATGCAGTTTAAAAAAAAGCGGTGGAAAAAATTGTAGATCTTAAAAAGTTCGTCAATTTGCGAGTTTCTAAATTAAAGTACATACACAATTCACCAAGATATTTGCAAAAAACAGTAATTTATAAATGATAGTCACTTTGTTACTGCATAATGACATGCAATATAACTAATCAAAATAGTGGCCGTTAAAAGGTTATTAAAGTGTGCTAAATTTGAAATAGATCAACCAACTAGTTTATAAGTTATTCAATTTGTTTACCCCAGAGAGTGATTATATAAACAGAAGTACTTGTCCAGATAGCCTTTCTACAGGTATTTTGAAAATCGAAATTGATTTTATAAGGGTTCATTTTAAAGGCAATTAAAAATATTGCAGAATTTTATTAAATTTGTTATTTAAAAACAGTTTCGAAAGGGCTGAATTTTTAGCTTATAGACATTTATAGTAACTTTTTCCATTTTGTATGTGACATGCTTGTAAGTAGGCTCAATACAAAGCTGGTGAAAAAACCACTTTCCAATTCAACAACACCAATAAGAATCAAGATAGCATTTTGTTTCTTAATATCATAAGTCCATTATTTATTAACTTAAGTAATTACTATTTAAATGGGAATAAGCCAAAAATGAAGGTTAAAGTAAGTTTATTGGCGTTTCAATTTCCACTTCGGAAATCGTTCTCAAAATAAATACAAACATTAGTAATTAAACAAATTTTGTTTTTTATTATCAACAAAAAACCAAAAAATTACTTTAATCTTTAATTGTGACTTATTCCCATTTAAATAGTGATTATTTCAAAAATGCCACAAGAAAATACACTCTGGGCCAAAATTAACCGGCTACCTTAAAAATGGGTAATTTTTGATGTCTTATATTGTCCGATTCAAGTGATTTTTTTAATATGTTATAGCCTTATTCCTTGACAATATCTTTATAATAATATTGTTACTAAACAGGTAAATTTGTAAACAGCCTGTGGAATATTGTAGCAATTGTAGAATTTCTCAACATTTTATTTTTTGGTTGATTCGCTTATGTTGGATAATACAAAAGTTAGGTGCTTTAACAACTAGACATGTTTTTATCAATTTTTATCTCCGCGGAAGAGAAAAAATAATCTTTTTTAAAAAAGTAATTTGTTACAGTAAAAATCCAATGAATAAAATCTTCGAAGAAAATTAAAATTAACAATATTTTGGAAATCAAAGTCTAATTGAAAAAAAATTGGGTATCAATGAGTGTTGCCATCTCTAGCCCTTAGGACTTCTTGGAGCCGGTGTGGCAATCCATTCATGATATCCTTGATATCAGATTGGGAGATATTGTGCCACTCCTCTACCTGTCTTCAGTTCTTCAAAGGATGCAAAAGTTCTCTTGCTCTTACCCGTCTTTTGAGGTTGTCCCAGATATGCTCAATTGGGTTAAGATCGGGACTGTCTGCTGGCCATGGTAGAACTTGCTGTCTGGCAACGTGCATTGTCATGCATTAGTCTGAAGTTATCACCAATGAATGGTGCAAAAGGCATGCCATGGTCTTGGAGAACTTCTTGCACATATACTTGGGCATTCACACTGCCTCTACCGAACACAACAAGATCAGTACGCGCTTCGTAAGAAATACCTCCCCAAATCATTATTGACCCTCCTCGTAAGCCACTGTTTCGGTTATAGCGCATGCAGCAAACTTTTCATTTTAACGCCTATAGACACATTGGCGTCCATCTGGACCTTTTAGGGCTATTCTGCTCTCATCTGAGAACAGTATATTCTTCCGTTGTGGGAGCAGTTGTGGTGCGCGAGCTGGACGAAAAGCCCCAAGTTTATTTCTGACAGTTTTCTTCTAATCGTTTGTCTACTCATACTAACGTTTCTCACCTCATGAAGAGACCTACGAACTTCAGGAGCGGTGCAAAAGCGATTTCTCAATACTTTAGTGAAAATGAAGCGGTCATCTCGAACTGAAGTGTATTGTTTTCGGCCTTGACCTGGCCTGCAGTTGTACGGTCCTGTCTCCCGAAATCGTCTGATGGCATCTTGTACCGTAGTTCTGGGTACATCGAGTATACTAGCGATATAACGTTGATTGTAACCAGCATCAACTAAAGCCACTGCCCTAGCAGCATCAGTTGGAACGAGTCACATCACTCGTTAAAATCACAAACAATAAATAAGCACTAAAATTTCAACTTAAACAATTTTTGCTCGCAATGCTATAAAATTACAATTTTAATTGTTAATTTTAATTACAAATTGTTCAAGAATTGTTATTAACAAGGAAACAGATTTGCAACAATGTTGTACAACAACTATATGTAAAAAATCCTCCCATGACACAAATTTAGGAAACAAACTGTCACAGGTAATGTAAACAAACAATAATAAAGGTGGTGGGGTTAATTTTGCTGGTGAGTTAAATCGTCTGTATTGATGAAAAACATGGCTAGTTGTTAAACTATCTAACTTTTGTATTATCCAACATAAGCGAATGAATCAAAAAACAAAATATTGAAGAAGAATGAGAAATAAAACAAAATATTGAAGATGAGAAAACATGAAGCTATAGTTAGGTTTTAATTTCAATATTTTATAAATGCTAGAATATTCGTTTACCAGTTTAATTCGTACACCCGGTATACAATGAAAATTTACCTGTTTAGCAACCATATTATTATAACGATATTGTCAAGGAATAAGGCTATAACATATTTAAAAAATCACTTAAATCGGACCACAGGTTTAGGAGATATCAAAAATTACCCATTTATAAGGTGGCCAGTTAATTTCGGCCCAGAGTGTAGCTTCAGAACACTATTAACATTAAGAGCTGTATAGTGAAAAGATTATAAACGAAAACTTAAATTTTATGATTCACTGTATAGATGGTATATACCGAGGAGTAACAAGTTATAAATCGTTAAAGTGATGGTACTCGTAAAGTACCGTATAATGGGGTGAATCGGATCGCTGTGGTGAATAGGATCAAAAGTACGGAATGTGTTAATTAAATCCACAATGTTTAAATAACGCGCCAAAACCGTTCCATTTCAGCGTGATGGGTTGCGATCATCATAGTCGCGTAAAGGTTGGTGATATCTCGACATGCGCAGCATGTAATACTGAAGGTCAACACATAACCTAAAAACATTGTTAGTCACGTATTTTTGAGCGTACAAAAACTTTGTGGTAATATCCTAAATAAGGAGACGTACATTCAAATTCTGCAGTGTTTGTGGGTCCAATAGGTTAGTAATTATTGTACACAAAGTAGTTTTTGTTCATTTTTTATTCCATAACAAACTAGAAAATTATTTGTAATTTGCTGCATTTGTTTTAGATATTTGGGGTGAATCGGATCAATAGCTGGGGTGAATAGGATCGATAGCTGGGGTGAATAGGATCAATAGCTAACGTAAATAGGACAATTAGCCGCTGTGAATAGGATCAAAAACTGGTCTAAATAAGGTTATTCTAGGTATCTACATCTTTGCTCAAGATGCCTAGAGTTTACAAACCTAAAGTTGGTGGGAAAATGTACAAAAAACCAAACCAACATGTCATTGATGCTGCGAAAAAGGATGTCAGTAATGGTTACAGTATAAGACAAGCCGCTAAAAGAAACAATGTTCCTTACACCGTACTTCATAGGCATATTAAAAATCAAAATGTGCGTAATCAAGGAGGCCAGACTGTTTTAACGGAAGAAGAAGAAAGATATATTGCTGCTAACTTGCTCAAATGCAGTGAATGGGGTTATCCTCTTGATACCTTTGATTTAAGAATGCTTGTCCAGCACTATTTAAATAGAATTGGAAGAGTTGTTCCTCGTTTTAAAGATAATCTCCCTGGTAAAGAATTTACGTATAGTTTTTTAAAACGACATTCCAATGTGTTATCAGAAAGAATGTGCCAGAATATAAAACGAGCACGTGCAGGTGTTACGAGGGTGACAATTTCCGAATATTTTGAACATCTATCTAATGAATTGGATGGTATTATCGCTAGCAACATCATAAATTATGATGAAACCAACCTTTGCGATGATCCTGGCAGGAAAAAAATAATTGCAAAACGAGGATGTAAATATCCCGAACGCATTATAAATCATAGCAAATCATCTACATCAATAATGTTTGCAGCTTCCGGTAGTGGAGTTTTTACTGCCATGTTATGTAGTCTACAAATCGTTGAATATGTATGATTCTTGGACAACTGGAGGACCATCTCAGACCAGATACAACCGTAGCAAATCAGGATGGTTCGATAGTTACTGTTTTGAGGATGGGATATATTCCATTGCAATTCCATACCTAAAAAAGTTACCAGGAAAAAAGGTATTAATTGGAGACAACTTGTCGTCCCATCTTTCTGTAGAGTCCATAAAACAGTGCTCAGAAAACAATATAAGATTTATTTTTTTGCCGAGCAACTCCACACATCTGACGCAACCTTTAGACGTTGCTTATTTCAAACCATTGAAAGTTGCGTGGAGAAAAATAGTCGAAACGTATAAGAAAGGACCAGGAAGGAAGGAGTGCAGTATTCCCAAAACTGTCTTTCCCAATCTTCTGAAACAGCTGCTTGAGTCTATTGAGGCTAACAGTTCTAACAATATAAAGGCAGGGTTTGATAAATGCGGAATAATCCCTTTAAATTCTGATCGTGTGCTGCGTATGCTACCTGTGGAAGGCCCAGAAAATGAAACACAAGAAGAGGAGATCAACAACTCTTTTACTGATATTTTAAAGACTATGCGGTACGATGGCAATCAGTCCAGACAGCGCAAAAAGAAACTTAACGTTCCCGCTGGTAAGAGTGTGGCAGTTGATGACGTTGAATCTTCTGATGAAAGTAGCCAACACTTTAGCACTCATG